CCCCATCCCCCTGACCCTCCAGGGACCCCCACTCCACCCAGGGACCCCCCAGACTCACCCCCAGGGACCACCCGCATCTGGGGGAGGGGAGAGAAGGGGGGTCAGGAGGGAGTGACCCAGAGACCCCTGACCCCACCAGAGACCCCTGATCCCTCAGAGACCACCCAACCCCCAGGGACCCTCTGACCCCCCATGGACCACCCGCATCTGGGGGAGGGGAGAGAAGGGGGGTCAGGGGATGGAGGACCCCCAGACACCCCAGAGACCCCTGACCCCCAGGGACCCCCAACACCCCAAGGATCCCCTGACCCCCATGGACCACCCGCATCTGGGGGAGGGAGAGAAGGGGGTCAGGGGGTCACCCCATCCCCTGATCACCCCAGGGACCCTCTGACCCCCAGGACCCCCCAACACCCCCAGGGACCCTCCAACACCCTCAGGGACCACCCAATCCTCCCACAGACCCCCAATACCCCCATGGACCACCCGCATCTGGGGGAGGGGAGAGAAGGGAGGGGGTCAGGGGTCGCCATCCCGCTCACCTCCAGGGTCCCCCAACACCCCCAGGACCCTGACCCCTAGAGACCCCCGACTCCAGGGACCCCCAACACCCCAGGGATCCCCTAACCCCCATGGACCACCCGCATCTGGGGGGAGGGAAGAGAGGGGGTCAGGGAGTCACCCCATCCCCTGACCCTCCAGGGACCCCCACCCACCCAGGGACCCCTGATCCCACCAGAGACCCCCAAGCCCCCAGAGACCCCTGACCCCCAGGGACCCCCAACCCCCAGGGACCCCCCAACCCCCAGGGATCCCCAACACCTCAGGGACCCTCTGACCCCCAGGGACCACCCAATCCCCCATGGACCACCCGCATCTGGGGGAGGGGAGAGAAGGGGGGGTCAGGGGGATGGAGTGACCCCCAGACACCCCAAAGACCCTCTGAACCCCCAGGGACCCCCTGACCCCCCATGGACCCCCAACCCCCCATGGACCACCCACATCTGGGGGAGGGAGAGAAAAGGGGGGTCAGGGGGATGGAGTGACCCCCAGAGACCCCAGAGAACCCCTGACTCCCCCAGGGACCCCCCAACACCCTCAGGGACCACCCAACCCCCAGGGACCCCTGACCCCCAGAGACCCCCTGACCCCTCAGGGACCCCCAACACCCCAGGATCCCCTAACCCCCCATGGACCACCCGCATCTGGGGGAGGGGAGAGAAGAGGGGGTCAGGGGGTCACCCCATCCCCCTGACCCTCCAGGGACCCCCACCCACCCAGGGACCCCTGATCCCACCAGAGACCCCCTAAGCACCCCAGAGACCTCCTGGACTCCCCCATGGACCACCCAACACCCTCAGGGATCCCCAACCCCTCAGGGACCCCCTAACACCCTCAGGGACCACCCAACTCCCCATGGACCACCCGCATCTGGGGGAGGAGAGAGAGAGGGGGTCAGGGGATGGAGTGACCCCCAGAGACCCCCTGACCCCACCAGGGACCCCCAACACCTCAGGGACCCCTGAGCACCCCATGGACCCATCTGGGGAGGGCAGAAGCGGCTCCAGGGACTCACCCCTGACACCCTCAGGGACCCCCTGACCCCCAGGGACCCCTGATCCTCCCATGGACCACCCGCATCTGGGGGAGGGGAGAGAAGAGGGGGTCAGGGGATGGAGTGACCCCCAGAGACTCCTGACCCCCCAGGGACCCCCAACACCCTCAGGGACCACCCAACCCCCAGGGACCCCTGAGCACCTCAGGGACCACCCAACCCCCCATGGACCACCCAACCCCTCCCGACCACCCAACCCCAGGGCCCTCTGACCCTCCATGGACCACCCAACCTCCCAGGGACCCCCTGACCACTCCCAGGGACCCCCAAACCCCCAGGGACCCTGACCCACAGGGCCACCCAGCCTCTCCGGACCACCCAACCCCCAGGGTCCCTCTGACCCCCAGGGTCCACCCAACCCTCAGAGACCCCTGACCCCTAGGGACCCCCTGACCCTCACAGGACCCCCAACCCCCATGGACCCCCACATCATGAGGGGGAGGGGAGAAAAGGGGGTCAGTGGGGAGGGGTGACCCCCTGCAGCCCCCAGGGCCTCCCAACCTCCCTTCCATGACCCACCTCCCAAATCCCCTCCCCAAACTCCAGGAATTGGGGTCAGGAGTCACGGGATGGGGTCAGGGGTCAGGAATTGGGGTCATGGGGTGGGGGTTGGGGTCAGAGGTCATGGATTGGGTTGGGGTCAGGAATTGGGGTCAGAGGTTGGGGTCAGGGGGTCAGAGGTCACAAATTGGGTTGAGATCGTGGATTGGGGTCAGGGGTCACGGGTTGGGAGGGGTCAGAGGTCATGGGTTGAGGTCAGGGGTCACGAATCGGGTCAGGGGTCAGGAATTGGGTCAGGGTCATGGATTGGGGTCAGAGGTCATGGGTTGGGGTCAGGGGTCACGAATCAGGGTCGGGGTGAGGAATTGGGGTCAGGGGTCATGGATTGGGGTCAGGGGTCAGGGGCTGAGTTTGGGGTCATGGATTGGGGTCAGGGATCTGGGTTTTGGATTGGGGTCAGGGGTCAGGGGTCATGGATTGGGGTCAGGGGTCAGGGGTCATGGATTGGGGTCAGGGGTCAGGGTCATGGGCCGAGTTTGGGGTCATGGACAGGGGTCAAGGATCAGGGTCAGGGGTCATGGATCAGGGGTCAGGGGTCAGGGTCAGAGGTCATGGATTGGGGTCATGGATTGGGATCAGGGTCAGGGGTCAGGGTCAGGGATCAGGGTCAGGGGTCAGGGGTCAGAGGTCAGAGTTGTGGATTGGGGTCAAGGGTCATGGATTGGGGTCAGGGGTCGGAGTCAGAGGTCAGGGGTTATGGATTGGGGTCAGAGGTCAGGGGTCAGGGGTCACCTGTGTCTGGACTCTGCTCAGCCCCCGCACCCAGAGGAGCCGCCCCCGCTGCTCGTCCAGCCCGGAGCCCTCGGCGGCCGAACCCGAGCCTGAGGGACCCCCCGAGACCCCCCCGGGGCAGGGGACCCCTGGGACACAGACCAGGACCTGGGGGAATTTGGGGGTCATGGGGAAATTTGGGGGTTATGGGGGTCTGAACCCCCCAGGGCAGGGGAGACCCCCGGGACACAGACAAGGACCTGGGGGAATTTGGGGGTTATGGGGTCTGAATCCCCCAGGGCAGGGGACCCCGGGACACAGACAAGGACCTGGGGGAATTTGGGGGTCATGGGGAAATTTGGTTATGGGGGTCTGAGACCCCTGGGGGAATTTGGGGGTCAGGGGGGTCTGAGAACCCCTGGGACACAGACCAGGACCTGGGGGAATTTGGGGGTTATGGGGAAATTTGGGGGTTATGGGAGTCTGAGACCCCCAGGACACAGACCAGGACCTGGGGGAATTTGGGGGTTATGGGGGTCTGGGATCCCCCCAGGGAAGGGGGGAACCCCCAGGACACAGACCAGGACCTGGGAGGCAATTTGGGGGGTCATGGGGGAAATTTGGGGGGTTATGGGGGTCTGAGACCCCCTGGGCAGGGGACCCCGGGACACACAACAGGACCTGGGAGGAATTTGGGGTCATGGGGAAATTTGGGGTAATGGAGGGTCTGAGCCCCCGGACACAGACCAGACCTGGGGGAAATTGGGGGTTATGGGGTCTGAGACCCCTGGGGGAAATTTGGGGGTCACAGGGGGTTTGAGATCCCCGGGGCAGGGGGACCCCTGGGACACAGACCAGGACCTGGGGGAATTTGGGGGTCATGGGGGGTCTGAGACCCCTGGGGAAATTTGGGGGTCAGGGGGCTCTGAGCCCCCAGGACACAGACCAGGACCTGGGGGAATTTGGGGTGTCATGGGGGTCTGAGACCCCTGGGGGAATTTGGGGGTTATGGGGGTCTGAGCCCCCCCGGGCAGGAGACCCCTGGGACACAGACCAGGACCTGGGGGAATTTGGGGGAGCTATGGGGGGGCCTGAGACTCCCGGGGGAAATTTGGGGGTAATGGAGGGTCTGAGACCCCTGGAGGGGAAATTTGTGGGGGTCACAGGGGGTCTGAGTCCCCCAGGGCAGGGGACCCCAGGACACAGACAAGGACCTGGGGGGAATTTGGGGGTCATGGGGGGGTGGAGACCCTGGAGGGGAATTTGGGGGGTCACAGGGGAAATTTGGGGGTAATGGGGGTCTGAGCCCCCCCAGGGCTAGGGGAACCCCAGGACACAAACAAGGACCTGGAGGGGGGAAATTTGGGGGTAATGGGGGCCTAAGTCCCCCAATGAGACTACAGGGATGTGGGGGAATTTGGAGGTAATGGGGTCTGAGACCCTGGGAAGGCAAATTTGGGGGTTATGGGGGTCTGAGCCAGACAAGGACCTGGGGGGATCCCATGGGTTTTTTTGGGGGTCCCTCAGCTCTGGGGTCCCACAGGAAGGAATCCCATGGTTCTGGGGAGAGGGAGGGGGGTCCCACAGCTGTTCAGGGGGTCCTACAGCTCCAGGGGTCCCATGAGGGGGAAGGGGGAATTGTGGGAGGGGGAGGGGGTTTTGGGGCGGGGTCCTGTGGGGGTGTGGAGTGGGTTTGGGGGTGTTTTTGGGGTGGGGGTCCTGTGGGGGTGTGAAGGGGTTTGGGGAGGGGGTTTGGGGAGGGGTTCCTGTGGGGGTGTGGAGGGGGTTGTGGGAGGGGAGGTGTGTTTGGGGGAGGGGTGTCCTGTGGGGGTGTGGAGGGGTGTGGAGGGGTTTGGGGGTGTTTTTGGGTGGGGGTGTCCTGTGGGGGTGTGGAGTGGGCTGTGAGGGGTGTTTTGGGGGGTGTCCTGTGGGGGTGCAGGGTTTGGGGGTGCTTTTGGGGTGGGGGGTGTCCTGTGGGGGTGGAGGGGTTTGGGGGCTGTTTTTGGGGGTGGGGTTCCTGTGGGGGGCGTGGAGGGGGTTTGGGGGTGTTTGGGGGAGGGGTCTTCCGTACCTGCCTCCAGACGAGGCTCCCCTGACCCCCACAAAGGAGGCATCAGAGCCACTGCTCGGCACTGAGGGGGAGCAGCTGAACGGCTTCCCGAACTGCAATGATCAGCACCTGGGGGCAAAGGGGGTCAGGGGGTCCAGGGGGCTTCAGGGGTCTGAACCCCCAGCTCCCTCTGGGTCTGGGGGCACCGGGGGAGTCGGGGAGGAAGAGGGACTGAGGGTCCTTCCCCAGAACTGCACGATCAGCACCTGGGGGCAAAGGGGGGTCAGGGGGTCCAGGGGGTTTCAGGGGCTCTGACCCCCCAGCTCCCTCTGGGTCTGGGGGCACCGGGGAGGTCGGGGGTGGGGAAGAGACTGAGTGACCCCCAAAAACTGCACGATCAGCACCTGGGGGGCAAAAGGTCAGGGGGTCAGGGGGCTTCAGGGGGTCTGACCCCCAAGCTCCATCTGGGTCTGGGGGCACCAGGGGAGTCAGGGGGAAGAGGATCGAGGGTCCTCCCAAAAACTGCATGATCAGCACCTGGGGGGCACAAGAGGGTCAGGGGGTCCAGGGGGCTTCAGGGGGTCTGAACCCCCCAGCTCCCTCTGGGTCTGGGGGCACCGGGGAAGTCGGGGGTGGGGAAGAGACTGAGTGACCCCCAAAAACTGCACGATCAGCACCTGGGGGCAAAAAGGGGGTCAAGGGGGCTCAGAACCTGCCCCAGAGTACCTTTCCCAAACTGCACGATCAGCACCTGGGGGCAAAAAGGGAGTCAGGGGGTCCAGGGGGCTTCAGGGGTTCTGACCCCCAGCTCCTCTGGGTCTGGGGGCACCGGGGAGTCAGGGGGAAGAGGGACTGAGGGTCCTCCCAGAACTGCACGATCAGCACCTGGGGGGCAAAGGGGGTCAGGGGGTCCAGGGGGCTTCAGGGGTTCTGAACCCCCAGCTCCTCTGGGTCTGGGGGCACCGGGGAGGTCAGGGGTGGGGAAGAGACTGAGTGACCCCCAAAAACTGCATGATCAGCACCTGGGGGCAAAGGGGGGTCAGGGGGTCCAGGGGCCTCTGAACCCCCAGAGTGCCCGACCCCGAACTGCACGATCAGCACCTGGGGGCAAAAAGGGGGTCAGGGGGTCCAGGGGGTTTCAGGGGTGCCTGAGCCCCCAGCTCCCTCTGGGTCTGGGGGCACCGGGGAGGTCAGGGGGGTAAGAGACTGAGGTGTCCTTCCCAAAAACTGCACGATCAGCACCTGGGGGCAAAAGGGGGGTCAGGGGGTCCAGGGGGCTTCAGGGGTCTGAACCCCCAGAGTGTCCCCTCACAAACTGCACGATCAACACCTGGGGGTCACAGGGGGGCTTCAGGGGGCTCTGAACCCCCCAGAGTGTCCCATCCCCAAACTGCACGATCAGCACCTGAGGGGCAAAAGGGGGTCAGGGGAGTCCAGGGGAGCTCTGAACCCCCAGAGTGTCCCCCCAAAACTGCACGATCAGCACCTGGGGGCAAATGGGGGTCACACGGGGGCTTCTGAGGGGCTTCTGACCCTCCCTGGGTCTGGGGTTCCCTCAGGTTGTCCTCACAATGTCCCCTCCCCATCTGGGGGTCCCTGTGAGCCCACCTGGAGGGTGAAGGTGCCCAGGGCGATGGCACAGAAGATGGGAGGGGGGGTCCCTGGGGGTTCTGGGGAGGCTTCTGGGGGTCTCTATGAGCCCACCTGCAGCAGGAAGGTGCCCAGCACGATGGGAGGATTTTGGGGGTCCCTGGGGGTTTTGGGGTCCCTGGGGGTTTTGGGGGTCCCTGGGGTCTCTGGGGTCCCTGGGGGTCCCTGTGAGCCCACCTGCAGCAGGAAGGTGCCCAGGAAGATGGGGGGTTTTGGGGTCTCTGGGTGTTTTTGAGGTCCCACCTGCAGCAGGAAGGTGCCCAGCACGATGCAGCAGAAGATGGGGGGTTTGGGGGAGGTTTTTGGGGGTCCCTGGGGGTTTTTGGGGTCCCACCTGCAGCAGGAATGTGCCCAGGAAGATGGGAGGATTTTGGGGTCCCTGGGGGTTTTGGGGTCCCTGTGGGTTTTGGGGAGGTTTTTGGGGTTCTAGAGCCCACCTGGAGCAGGAAGGTGCCCAGCACGATGCAGCAGAAGATGGGGGGGTTTTGGGGGGTCCCTGGGGGTTTGGGGAGGTTTTTGGGGTCCCACCTGCAGCAGGAAGGTGCCCAGCACGATGCAGCAGAAGATGGGGGGTTTTGGGGGGTCCCTGGAGGTTTTGGGGTCCCTGGGGTCTCTGGGGTTTGGGGAGGTTTTTGGGGGTCCCTGGGTGTTTTTGGGGTCCCACCTGCAGCAGGAAGGTGCCCAGCACGATGCAGCAGAAGATGGGGGTTTTGGGGGTCCCTGGGGGTCTCTGGGGCTTTGGGGTCCCACCTGCAGCAGGAAGGTGCCCAGGACGATGGGAGGAGTTTTGGGGGTCCCTGGGTGTTTTGGGGTCCCTGGGGGTCTCTAGGGGTTTTGGGCAGGTTTTTGGGGGTCCCTGTGAGCCCACCTGCAGCAGGAAGGTGCCCAGGAAGATGGGGGGCGTTTTGGGGGTCCCTGGGGGTTTTGGGGGTCCCACCTGCAGCAGGAAGGTGCCCAGGAAGATGGGAGGATTTTGGGGGGTCCCTGGGGGTTTTGGGGAGGTTTTTGGGGTCCCACCTGCAGCAGGAAGGTGCCCAGCATGATGCAGCAGAAGATGGGGGGGTTTTGGGCAGGTTTTTGGGGGTTTTGGGGAGGTTTTTAGGGGTCCCTGGGTGTTTTTGGGGTCCCACCTGCAGCAGGAAGGTGCCCAGCACGATGCAGCAGAAGATGGGGGTTTGGGGAGGTTTTGGGGTTTGGGAGGTTTTTAGGGGTCCCTGGGTGTTTTTGGGGTCCCACCTGCAGCAGGAAGGTGCCCAGCACGATGGGAGGATTTTGGGGGGTCCATGGGGGTTTTGGGGAGGTTTTTGGGGTCTCTGGGGTTTTTAGGGTCCCACCTGCAGCAGGAAGGTGCCCAGCACGATGGGGGGGTTTTGGGGAGATTTTTGGGGGTTTTTAGGGGTCTCTGGGTGTTTTTGGGGTCCCACCTGCAGCAGGAAGGTGCCCAGGAAGATGGGAGGATTTTGGGGGGTCCCTGGGTGTTTTGGGGAGGTTTTTGGGGGTCCCTGGGTGTTTTTGGGGTCCCACCTGCAGCAGGAAGGTGCCCAGCACGATGCAGTAGAAGATGGGGGAGTTTGGGGGGTCCCTGGGGTTTTGGGGTCCCTGGGGGTTTTGGGGAGGTTTTTGGGGGTCCCTGTGAGCCCACCTGGAGCAGGAAGGTGCCCAGCACGATGCAGCAGAAGATGGGGGTTTTGGGAGTCCCTAGGGGTCTCTGGGTGTTCCTGAGAGTTTTGGGGGGTCCCTGGGGGTTTTGGGGAGGTTTTTGGGGTCCCACCTGCAGCAGGAAGGTGCCCAGGAAGATGGGAGGATTTTGGGGGTCCCTGGGGGTCTCTGGGTGTTCCTGGGGGTTTTGGGGAGGTTTTTGGGGTCCCACCTGCAGCAGGAAGGTGCCCAGGAAGATGGGGAGGATTTTGGGGGTCCCTGGGGTTTTGGGGAGGTCCCTGGGAGGTTTTGGGGAGGTTTTTGGGGTCCCACCTGCAGCAGGAAGGTGCCCAGCACGATGGCACAGAAGATGGGGTTGCCCAGCACCCCGTCAAAGACGTTCCTCTCGCCGTGGATCTTGCGGGCGTTGAGCTCGTTGAAGAGCTGCATCAGCACGAACGTGTTGAAGATGATGGTGAAGTGCTCCGAGGGGGGGGCGTGCAGGGGAGCCCCCCGCCCGCTGTCGATGTCGAACAGCACCTCCCCTGGGGGGGACACGGTTTTGGGGGCTGGGATTGGGGAAGGGTCTTTGTGGGGTCCCTCCCACTCTGGGGGCCCTGGGGTCCCTGGAAGGTCCCCACGGTGTCCCCTCCCAATCTTGGGGTCCTGGGGTCCCTGAGGGTCCCCTCCCACTCTGGGGGTCCCTGAAGGTCCCCACGGTGTCCCCTCCCACTCTGGGGGTCTTTTCAGGGTCCCCTCCCACTCTGGGGGTCCTTGAGGGTCCCTGAAGGGTCCCTCCCAATCTGCAGGGTCCCTGAGGGTCCTTTTGGGTCCCCATGGTGTCCCCTCCCACTCTGGGGGTCCCCAGGGGGGGTCATTCCAGGTCCAGGGTGAGTCCCCCGCCCGCTGTCGATGTCGAACAGCACCTCCTCTGGGGGACACGGTTTTTGGGGGGCTGGGATTGGGGGAGGGTCCTTGTGGGGTCCCCTCTCAATCTGGGGTCCCTGGGGTCCCCACGGTGTCACCTCCCACTCTGGGGTCCCTGGGGTCCCTGAGGGTCCCTGGAAGGTCCCCACGGTGTCCCTCCCACTCTGGGGGTCTTTCAGGGTCCCCTCCCAGTCTGGGGGTCCCTGAAGGTCTTTGTGGGGTCCCCTCTCAATCTGGAGGTCCCTGAAGGTCCTCACGGTGTCCCCTCCCAATCTGGGGGTCCCTGAAGGTCCCCAGGGTGTCCCCTCCCACTCTGGGGTCCCTGGGGTCATTCCAGGTCCAGGGGGCCCCCCACCCGCTGTCGATGTCGAACAGCACCTCCCCTGGGAGGAGGAGGGACACGGTTTTTGGGGGGATGGGGGGGAGGGTCTTTGTGGGGTCCCCTTCCACTCTGGGGGTCCCTGGGGGTCCTTTTGGGTCCCCACAGTGTCCCCTCCCAGTCTGGGGGTCCCTGGGGTTCCCTGGGGGTCCCTGAGGGTCCCCTCCCACTCTGGGGGTCCTGAGGGTCCCCATGACTCCCCCTCCACATTTGGGGGTCCCTTCAGGTCCTCTCCCAATCTGGGGGTCCCTTCAGCTCCCCACGGTGTCCCCTCCCAATCTAGGGGTCCCCAGGGGGGGTCATTCCAGGTCCAGGGTGAGTCCCCCGCCCGCTGTCGATGTCGAACAGCACCTCCCCTGGGGGGCGGACACGGTTTTTGGGGGGGCTGGGATGGGGGGGAGGGTCTTTGTGGGGTCCCCTCTCAATCTGGGGGTCCCTTCAGGTCCCCTCCCACTCTGGGGGTCCCTGGGGGTCCCCACGGTATCCCCTCCCCCTCTGGGGGTCCCTGGGGGTCCCTGAGGGTCCTCTCCCAATCTGGGGGTCCCTGAAGGTCCCCACGGTGTCACCTCCCACTCTGGGGGTCTTTTCAGGGTCCCCTCCCACTCTGGGGGTCCTTGGGGGTCCCTGAAGGTCCCTCCCAATCTGAGGGTCCCTGAGGGTCCTTTTGGGTCCCCAGGGTGTCCCCTCCCACTCTGGGGGTCCCCGGGGGGGTCATTCCAGGTCCAGGGGGGCCCCCCACCCGCTGTCGATGTCGAACAGCACCTCCTGGGCAGGGGGAACACGGTTTTTGGGGGCTGGGATTGGGGGAGGGTCTGTGGGGCCCCCCGCCCGCTGTCGATGTCGAACAGCCCCTCCCCTGGGGGGGGACACGGTTTTTGGGGGAGTTGGGATTGGGGGGGGAGGGTCTTTGTGGGGTCCCCTCCCACTCTGGGGGTCCCTGAGGGTCCCTGAGGGTCCCTGAAGGTCCCCACGGTGTCCCCTCCCAATCTGGGGGTCCCTGAGGGTCCCTGAAGGTCCCCACAGTGTCCCCTCCCAATCTGGGGGTCCCTGGGGGTCCCTGAGGGTCCCCTCCCACTCTGAGGGTCCTGAAGGTCCCCATGACTCCCCCTCCACATTTGGGGGTCCCTTCAGGTCCTCTCCCACTCTGGGGGTCTTTTCAGGGTCCCCAGGGTGTCCCCTCCCACTCTGGGGGTCCCTGGGGGTCCCTGAAGGTCCCCAGGGTGTCCCCTCCCACTCTGGGGGTCCCTGGGGGTCCCTGAAGGTCCCCAGGGTGTCCCCTCCCACTCTGGGGGTCCCCAAGGGGGGTCATTCCAGGTCCAGGGGGGCCCCCCGCCCGCTGTCGATGTCGAACAGCACCTCCCCTGGGGGGGGACACGGTTTTTGGGGGGGTTGGGATTGGGGGGGAGGGTCTTTTCAGGGTCCCCTTCCAGTCTGGGGGTCCCTTCAGGTCCTCTCCCAATCTGGGGGTCTTTTCAGGGTCCCCACGGTGTCCCCTCCCACTCTGGGGGTCCCTGGGGGTCCCTGAGGGTCCTCTCCCAATCTGAGGGTCCCTGAAGGTCCCCACGGTGTCCCCTCCCACTCTGGGGGGCCTTTTGGGGTCCCCTCCCACTCTGGGGGTCCTTTTGGGGTCCCCTCCCACTCTGGGGGTCCTTTTGGGGTCCCCTCCCACTCTGGGGGTCCCTGGGCGTCCTTTTGGGATCCCCTCTCAGTCTGGGGGTCCCTTTGGGGTCCCCTCCCACTCTGGGGGTCCCTCTGGGGTCCCCTTCCAGTCTGGGGGTCATTTCAGACCCCCACGGTGTCCCCTTCCAGCTCCTCCCCCCGAGGATGATGAGGATGATGATGATGAGGGTCTGCAGGACCCCCTGCCCCCCAAAGATGCTGATGAAGACGAAGATGATGAAGATGAAGATGCTGATGAAGATGATGAAGATGATGAAGACAGTGACGTCCCGGGGCCGCACCGGCGAAGAGGAAGGTGAAGATGATGAAGACGATGAAGATGAGGATGCTGATGAAGATGAAGACACTGATGAAGATGAAGATGATGCTGATCAAGATGAGGATGCTGATGAAGATGATGATGATGAAGATGAGGATGCTGATGAAGATTAAGATGATGAAGACAATGAAGACGAGGATGCTGATGAAGATGATGAAGATGATGAAGATGATGAAGATGATGAAGATGATGCTGATGAAGATGAGGATGCCCCGGGGCTGCACCGGCGAAGAGGAAGGTGAAGATGAAGATGCTGATGAAGATGAAGATGATGAAGATGATAAAGATGAGGATGCTGATGAAGATGATGATGATGAAGATGAGGACGAGGATGCCCCAGGGCCGCACCGGCGAAGAGGAAGGTGAAGATGATGAAGATGATGAAGATGATGAAGATGAAGACACTGATGAAGATGAGGATGCTGATGAAGATGATGATGATGAAGATGAAGATGATGAAGATGAGGATGATGAAGATGATGATGATGAAGATGAAGGGGACCCGGGGCCGCACCGGCGAAGAGGAAGGTGAAGATGAAGATGATGAAGATGATGAAGATGATGAAGATGATGAAGATGAGGATGCTGATTAAAATGAAGATGATGATGATGAAGATGAAGGGGACCCGGGGCCGCACCGGCGAAGAGGAAGGTGAAGATGATGAAGACACTGATGAAGATGAGAATGCTGATGAAGATGATGAAGATGATGATGAAGATGAGGATGTCCCAAGGCTGCACCGGCAAAGAGGAAGGTGAAGATGATGAAGATGAGGATGCTGATGAAGATGATGATGATGAAGATGAGGATGCTGATAAAGATGAAGATGCTGATGAAGATGAAGATGATGAAGATGAGGATGCTGGTGATGATGATGAAGATGAAGATGAGGATGCCCCAGGGCCGCACCGGCGAAGAGGAAGGTGAAGATGATGAAGATGATGAAGATGATGAAGATGATGAAGATGAGGATGCTGATGAAGATAATGATGATGATGATGAGGATGAGGATGCCTCGGGGCCGCACCGGCGAAGAGGAAGGTGAAGATGATGAAGATGATGAAGATGATGAAGATGAGGATGCTGATTAAAATGAGGATGATGATGATGAAGATGAAGGGGACCCGGGGCCGCACCGGCGAAGAGGAAGGTGAAGATGTTGAAGATGATGAAGATGAGGATGCTGATGAAGATGAAGACACTGATGAAGGTGAAGATGATGAAGATGATGAAGATGAGGATGAGGATGCTGATGATGATGATGCTGATGAAGATGAGGATGCCCCGGGGCCGCACCGGCGAAGAGGAAGGTGAAGATGAAGATGATGAAGATGATGATGATGAAGATGATGAAGATGAGGATGCTGATGAAGATGAAGATGGTGAAGATGAAGGGGACCCGGGGCCGCACCGGCGAAGAGGAAGGTGAAGATGACGAGCAGCTGGTAGAGGGCGTGGCCCAGGATGTTCCTGAGCATGGTGGGCGACACCAGGGGGTGGTCCCGGCCGTGGGGGCGGCGCAGCAGCAGCTCCTCCGTGGGGGGCTCCGTGGCCAAGGCCAGCGAGGCCAGCGTGTCCATGATGAGGTTCACCCACAGCATCTGCACCGCCTTCAGGGGCGAGTCCTGGGGCAAAGGGGGGTCATAGAAGCATGGGGGCAGGGGGCAGAGGTCATGGGGGCACCCACAGCATCTGCACCGCCTGCAGGGGGAGTCCTGGGGGCAGGGGGCTAGGGAAGCATGGAGATCCTGGGGGCACCCACAGCATCTGCACCGCCTCAGGGCGAGTCCTGGGGGATGGGGGCAGAGGGGGGCTCATGGAGATCCTGGGGGCACCCACAGCATCTGCACCGCCTTCAGGGGCGGAGTCCTGGGGGAAAAGGGGGACCCAAGCATCTGAGCTCAGGGAGTCCTGGGGGCACATGGGGGTCCATGGGGCATCAGAGACCTGGGGGCACCCACAGCATCTGCACCGCCTTCAGGGGCGAGTCCTGGGGGCATAGGGGGCATGGGGGCTCAGAAAATCCTGGGGCACCCACAGCATCTGCACCGCCTTCAGGGGGAGTCCTGGGGGCAGGGGGGGTTAGAGAGATCCTGGGGGCACATGGAGATCATGGGGGCACCCACAGCATCTGCACCGCCTTCAGGGGGAGTCCTGGGGGCATGGGGGCATAGGGGGTCAGGGGGTCATGGGGGCACCCACAGCATCTGCACCGCCTTCAGGGCGAGTCCTGGGGCATGGGGGTCAAAGGGGTCAGGGCATGGGGGCACATGGAGATCCTGGGGGCACCCACAGCATCTGCACCGCCTTCAGGGGCGAGTCCTGGGGGCATGGGGGTGTCAGGGGGCATGGGGGTCAGGGGGTCAGAAAATCTGGGGCACATGGAGATCCTGGGGGCACCCACAGCACCTGCACCGCCTTCAGGGGGAGTCCTAGGGGCATGGGGGCATGGGGGTTCAGAGGGGCATGGAGGGGGCATGAGGGGGTCATGGGGGCACCCACAGCATCTGCACCGCCTTCAGGGGCGAGTCCTGGGGGAGCAGGGCAGGGGCATGGGGGTCAGGGGGCAGAAATCCTGGGGCACCCACAGCATCTGCACTGCCTTCAGGGGGAGTCCTGGGGGCATGGGGGGCAGAGGGGCTCAGGGGTCATGGGGGTCAGAAAATCCTGGGGGCACCCACAGCATCTGCACCGCCTGCAGGGGGAGTCCTGAGGGGCAGGGGGCCAGGGGGGTCAGAAAATCATGGGGCATGGGGGCACCCACAGCATCTGCACCGCCTTCAGGGGGAGTCCTGGGGGCAAGGGGGTCAGAGGGGCTCAGGGGGCACCCACAGCATCTGCACCGCCTTCAGGGGCGAGTCCTGGGGGCAGGGGGCATGGGGCAGGGGCATGGGGGTCAGAGAGATCCTGGGGGCACCCACAGCATCTGCACCGCCTGCAGGGGAGAGTCCTGGGGGGCAGGGGGTCAGAAAATCATGGGAGCATGGGGGCACCCACAGCATCTGCACCGCCTTCAGGGGGAGTCCTGGGGGAAAAGGGGGGGTCAGAAAATCCTGGGGCACCCACAGCATCTGCACCGCCTTCAGGGGCGCAGTCCTGGGGGAAGTGGGGCATGGGGGTCAGAAAATTCTGGGGCACCCACAGCATCTGCACCGCCTTCAGGGGCGAGTCCTGGGGGCAGGGCAGGGGGCAAAGGGGGTCAGAAAATCCTGGGGGCACCCACAGCATCTGCACCGCCTGCAGGGGAGAGTCCTGGAGGCATGGGGGCATGGGGGGTCAGGGGGTCATGGGGGTCATGAGGGGGTCATAAAATCCTGGGGGCACCCACAGCATCTGCACCGCCTTCAGGGGGAGTCCTGGGGGGCATGGGGGCATGGGGGGTATAGGGGCATGGGGGCAAAGGGGTCAGGGGCACCCACAGCATCTGCACCGCCTTCAGGGGCGAGTCCTGGGGGAAAAGGGGTGTCAGGGGGCATGGGGGCATGGGGGTCAGGAAAATCCTGAGGGGGCATGGGGCACCCACAGCATCTGCACCGCCTTCAGGGCGAGTCCTGGGGGCAGGGGGTGTCAGGGGGCATGAGGGTCATGGGGGCACATGGAGATCCTGGGGGCACCCACAGCATCTGCACCGCCTTCAGGGGCGAGTCCTGGGGGCAGGGGTGTGTCAGGGGGTCAGAGGGTCAGCATGGGGGCACCCACAGCATCTGCACCGCCTTCAGGGGAGTCCTGGGGAAAGGCGAATCAGGGGGCATGGGGGTCAGGGGCACCCACAGCATCTGCAGCGCCTTCAGGGGGGAGTCCTGGGGGGGTCAGGGGGCATGGGGGGGTCAGGAGGGTGACACAGCCCCAGGTGATGCCCAGGTGCCCCTCCCCTGCCCAGGTAACCCCTCACCTGAGTGACACAGGCCCCCGTGAAGGCCACCACGTTGACGGTGAGCTGGAACTGCAGGAACTTGGCGATGCCCAGGTAACACCTCCCCTGCCCCATGTGCCCCTCACCTGCCCAGGTAACCCCTCCCCTGCCCAGGTAACCCCTCCCCTGCCCAGGTGCCCCTCACCTGTGTCACGCAGGCCCCCGTGAAGGCCACCACGACGGCCACGACGTTGACGGTGTCACCTGTGCCCCCAGCCCAGCTGCCCAGGTGCCCCCAAGCCCCAGGTAACCTCCTGCCCAGGTAACCTCCCCAGCCCAGGTAACTCACCTGTGTCACGCAGGCCCCCGTGAAGGCCACCACGACGGCCACGCGTTGACAGCGAACTGCAGGAACTTGGCGATGCCCAGGTGCCCCTCCCCTGCCCCAGGTGATGCCCAGGTGACCCCCCAGCCCCAGGTAACCCCTCACCTGTGTCACACAGGCCCCCGTGAAGGCCACCACGACGGCCACGACGTTGACAGTGAGCTGGAACTGCAGGAACTTGGCGATGCTGTCGTGGACGTTGCGGCCCCAGAGCACGGCCTTGACGATGGACGAGAAGTTGTCGTCGGTCAGGATGATGTCCGAGGCCTCCTTGGCCACGTCTGTGCCCGCGATGCCCTGGGGGGGACACCACAGGTGGGCACAGGTGGGCACAGGTGACCCCAAGGTGACCACGGGCACAGGGTGATGTCCGAGGCCTCCTTGGCCACGTCCGTGCCGGCAATGCCCTGGGGGGAGGGGACAGGTGAGCACAGGTGGGCACAGGTGGGTACAGGTGGGTACAGGTGGGCACAGGTGGGCACAGGTGACCCCAAGGTGACCCCAAGGTGACCACGGGTACGGGATGATGTCCGAGGCCTGAGACCCCCCAGGTAGCCACAGGTGACCCACAGGTGGGCACAGGTGGGCACAGGTGGGTACAGGTGACCCCAAGGTGATCCCAAGGTGACCACGGGCACGGGGTGATGTCCGAGGCCTCCTTGGCCACGTCCGTGCCCGCGATGCCCTGGGGGGGACACCACAGGTGGGGTACAGGTGACCCACAGGTGAGCACAGGTGAGCACAGATGGGCACAGGTGGGCACAGGTGACCCTCAAGTGACCCTCAGGTGACCCCAGGTAACCCACAGGTAACCACAGGTGACCCACAGCTGACCCTCAGTTGACCCCCAGGTGGTCACAGGTGACCCTCAAGTGACCCTCAGGTGACCCCCAGGTGACCCCCAGGTGACCACAGGTGACCACCAGGACAGGGCTGGCCTCCCAGGTGACCCTCAGGTGACCCTCAGGTGACCCTCAGGTAACCCTCAGGTGACTCCCAGGTGACCCTCAGGTGACTGCAAGGTGACCCTCAGGTGACCACAGATGACCACAAGTGACCACAGGTGACCCCCAGGTGACCCCCAGGTAACCACAGGTGAGCACAGGTGACCCTCAGGTAACCCTCAGGTGACTCCCAGATGACCAGAGCTGGCCCCAGGGGTCCTCAGGTGACCCCAGGTGACCCTCAGGTGACCACAGATAACCACAAGTGACCACAGGTGATCCCAGGTGACCCTCAGGTGACCCCAGGTGACCCCAGGTGACCCCAGGTGACCCTCAGGTGACTCCAGGTGACCCCAGGTAGCCTGGTTTATTTTGGGGAGGGGGTGTGGTTACCATGGCAAACCCCACGTCGGCCTTTTTGAGGGCGGGGCCGTCGTTGGTGCCGTCGCCGGTGACAGCCACGACCTGGCGCTGCTCCCCGATGGTGCTGTCGATGATCCCTGGGGGGGGGAGACCCCCACCGTCACCTCTGACCCCCCCCGGGACCCCCAGACCCCAAAAAACCCCCCAGACCCCTCAAAACCTCCCCGGATACCCCAAAAATCCCTCAAGACTCCCAAAACTCCCCAGACCCCTCAAAAACCCCCCAAAACCCCCAGACCCCAACCCCAAACCCCAGACCCCCAAAACTCCCCGGATCCCCAAAACCTCCCCTAGACCCCCAAAATCCCTCAAGACTCCCAAAACCTCCCCAGACCCCCAAAACCTCCCTAGACCCCCCAAAACTTCCCCAGATCCCCAAAACTTCCCCAGATCCCCCCAAACACCCCCAAGACTCCCAAAACCTCCCTAGACCCCCAAAACTTCCCCAGGTCCCCCAAAACCTCCCTGGACCCCCCAAAATCCCTCAAGACTCCCCAAAACTCCCCAGACCCCCAAAACCTCCCTAGACCCCCCAAAACTTCCCCAGACCTCCCAAAACACCCCCAGACCCCCAAAAACTCTCCAGACCCCTAAAACCTCCCCCAGACCCCCAAAAGTCCCCCAGACCCCCAAAACTCCCCAGACCCCCAAAAGCTATCCCAGATCCCCCAAAACATCCCTGGACCCCCAAAACACCCCCAGACCCTGAAACCCCCCAGGTCCCCCAAACCACCCCCAGACCCACAAAACCTACCCCAGACCCCCAAAACACCCCCAGACCCCTGAAAACCCCCTGGCCCCCAAAACCCCCCAGGACCCCCACCTTGCTCAGGTGTGCTTGGGGTGACCCCCTATGGAAACCCCCCAAAGCACCCCCAGGACCCCCAAAACCCCCAGGACCCCCACCTTAACCAGGGTGTGCTTGGGGTGACCTCCCATGGAAACCCCCCAAACCCCCCAGGACCCCTAAACCCCCAGACCCCCCCAGCACCCCCCAGACCCCCCTAAAACCCCCCAGGACCCCCCAGGACCCCCACCTTTAACCAGGGTGTGTTTGGGGTGACCTCCAATGGAAACCCCCAAAACCCCCCAGGACCCCCCCACTCTTAACCAGGGTGTGTTTGGGAGTGACCCCTCATGGAAACCCCCAAAACCCCCCCAGGACCCCACCACTAACCACTGGTGTGTTTGGGGTAACCCCCCAATGGAAACCCCCCTAAACCCCCAGGACCCCCTAAACCCCCCAGACCCCCAAAGCACCCCCAGGACCCCCAAAACCCCCAGGACCCCCAGACCCCCCACCTTTAACCAGGGTGTTTGGGGTGACCCCTATGGAAACCCCCCAAGCACCCCCAGGACCCCCACCTTTAACTAGGGTGTGTCTGGGGGTGACCCCATGGAAACCCCCCAAAGCACCCCCCAGGACCCCCCACCTTTAACCAGGGTGTGTTTGGGGTGACCCCCATGGAAACCCCCAAAACCCCCCAGACCCCCCAAACACCCCAGACCCTCCCACCTTTAACCAGGGTGTGTTTGGGGTGACCCCATGGAAACCCCCAAAAAGCCCCCCAGGACCCCCCAAACTCCCCCAGGACCCCCCAGGACCCCCCACCTTAACCAGGGTGTGCTTGGGGGTGACCTCCCATGGAAACCCCCCAAACTCCCCCAAGACCCCCCAAAATCCCCCACCTTTAACCAGGGTGTGCTTGGGGGTGACTCTATGAAACCCCTAAACCCCCCAAGACCCCCCCAAAACACCCCCCCAAACCCCCCCAGGACCCCCCAGGACCCCCACCTTTAACCAGGGTGTGCTTGGGGTGACCCCATGGAAACCCCTAAACCCCCCTAAGACCCCCCAAAATCCCCCACCTTTAACCAGGGTGTGTTTGTGGTGCACTCCATGAAACCCCTAAAACCCCCCAAGACCCCCAAAACACCCCCCAAACCCCCCAGGACCCCCAGGACCCCCACCTTTAACCAGGGTGTGTTTGTCGGTGGGCGATGACCCTCGCCAGGACCCTCAGCTTGGGCCACACCTGTCCAGCCGCTCCTGCTCCACCTGGGAGACTGGGGGTTGAGACCCCCAAAGACCCCCCAAAAACCCACAGGGACCCCCAGGGTCGTCTGAGCCCCCCAAACCCCCCAAGATCATCTGAGCCCCCTGGGCCATCCCTCCCACACCTTGTCCAGCCGCTCCTGCTGCACCTGGGCACGGGGGGTTGAGACCCCAAAGACCCCCCCAAAACCCCTAGGGACCCCCAGGGTCATCTGGAGCCCCCAGGGTCATCTGAGTCCCCAAAGACCCCCCCAAGATCGTCTGAGCCCCCTGGGCCATCCTCCTTACACACCTTGTCCAGCCGCTCCTGCTCCACCTGGGGCACGGTTGAGAGCCTAGACCCCCCAAAACCCCTCTAGGGACCCCCAGGGTCGTCTGAGCCCCCAAAGACCCCCTAGAATCATCCGAGCTCCCCGTGGGCCAGTCCCCCTCCCACACCTTGTCCAGCCGCTCCTGCTCCACCTGGGGGCACGGGGGCTTTGAGACCCCCAGGGACCCCCCAAACCCCTCAGGGACCCCTGGGTCATCTGAGCCCCCAAAACCCCCCCAGGATCATCTGAGCCCCCCTGGGCCATCCCCCTCCCACACCTTGTCCAGCCGCTCCTGCTCCACCTGGGGCACGGGGGGGC